AGGACTTGTAGTTCTGTGGAGAGGACTAGCCTGAGATGTGGTTTGAGCAGTTGTAGCTTCACTTCACGTTCACTTCGATAGGAAATCATGTTTCAATGTGGCTTTAACCGCCGCCACCCCAGCACTGGCATCAAACGTCGGGCCTTGTGCACGCCGGACAAGCGCTCTACCACTGAGTTCCGTTGTCATCTTGGGAAGTGTGTCCCACAAGAATTCCTATGATTAGTTCTTAGGCTTTATCCATAGGAAAAGTAAAATTCTGTCTCCTTATTCCTTATGTCGGAGAAGGAAGTCTAAGAAAGTAGCCAGAGTGAACTTTGCCGTTAAGAGGTTTGCCCGGCTGCAATCCATTAGTTTCCTCCAGAGTTCACATCTACAGTAAGAAATGAATATTCTATTGTTAGCCCAACAAATGTATGGGGGAAATTAAATAATAATATATACTGAAATCTATAATAAATTAGATATAGCACACACACATACACACACACATCTCCAGTAGATGTTTAGTGATGCCATTACTGCTTGTAGTGGTTCTCTGGTAGTTTGTCTCCTATTTCTTCTGAATGTTTATCACAAGCTACTTTAGTTTCAAATTCCCTGATATTTCAAATTCCTTGCATTTATCAAGTAGGAAGACTTGTTTGAGAACAGGTTCTCACTTTGTAGCCCTGGTAGGCTGGAACTCTCTCTGTAGACCAGGCTGACCTCAAACTTGCAGGGATCTGCCTGCCTCTGCCTCCCAAGTGCTGGGAATCAAAAGTGTGCGCCACCACCACCACCACCACCACGCTTGGACAACTCCAAAGCACTGTTTCCCTTGTTCCCACAATGATGATGACAGTCCTCGCTGCTTCTGAATTTGGACTCCTGGGAAAGTGAGAACAGGGGCGGACCAGATGCCTCAGTGAGCGTTGGGGGATGGCTCTTCGTGCTCCCTTTGGCTTCGGTGTGTCCTTTGGCCTTTGACTGAATCCTTGGCTCTCCCACCGTGTGCCCCCACCCCAGACAAAGCGTTGCAAGTTCTCAGCTGAACTTGGATCCAGATCACTTCCATACATTTACTTTAAAATGCCCTTTGCTTCCATGGCTTGGATTTGGAGTTAGAGTGAACCAAGGAGCCACCTGCACATGCTTTGCCAGAACACACGGCAGGCAGGAGTCTAGGTTGTGGCTGGAAAACTGAGCGCCATAAGATGTTCCTTCTTATTGACACTGTCATGTAGTAGGAAAGATACATAATTTTAAAAAGAAAAAAATTTCAGAAAGCATGTCGGTAATTGATTTGAATGACTTTTATTAGTTCTCTCCTTTAAAATTTAAATTATTGTTTTATCTGTATGGGTTTTTGCCTACATGCATTTATGTTTACTGTATGTATGCTCAGTGCCCACGGAGTCCAGAAGAGGGGGTCAGATTGCCTGTGAGCTGCCGTGGATGAACCTGTGTCCTCTAGAAGAGTGGCCAGTGCTCTTAACTGCTGAGCCATCTCTCCAGCCCTGGTTTTATTAGCTCTTAATAGTTGGGAACGCAGTAGACTATATCTTGGTTTCTGTCAGTATTTAAAGCAGAGAACTTCGTTAGTAATAAAAAAAAGGGAAGCTGAAGAATCCTCTTGAATTGCATTACATCTAGTGTTATGTCCTGAGTGTGAAACCCTGAAGTGTAAACAGTTACACTTGTCTTTATCTCTGTCTTCATAGGAATTAACAGTCAGCGCGAGTTGAGGGCTGTCCAGGATGGAAGGTCACGTGAAGCCCTTTCCTGCTGGCACATCTGGCAGCGGGTCATGGACGACTTAAGCAGGTGTCAGGACTCCATGGTGACTAGCACGCAGTTACAGGGTGACTCCCCCTGCCTGGGCTGGCGATGGTCCTCTGCACATGTTTCTGAAGATGAGAACTATACCCAGAGTCATAAGGCAAAGGTTCCCGCTGATACTGGAAGGCTCCCACTTCCAACGTTGAGAGCCCAGGGTTCTTGGCAAAAAGTTTTCCTGACTGAGCCACAGAGTCCTAAGAATGGATACCAACCGATTTCCACAAGAAGTGAACGGGGTCAGAGTAAAAAGGATATGGACTCTGTAGGTCGGATTTCGCGTTCCCTCGGTGATCACAGAGTACACAAAAGTAAAGATGGTCACAGCCCCAGTGGTTGTGGGAGAGAGAACATAAAGGCGGCAACCTTTGATCAGAATAGAACCATTCACGCTGGACAGAAAAATAATGATCTCTCCAGCTTTGACCCCCACAAACGGTCAGACCCAAGAGAGAGGTCTTGCACGTGTGTGGAATGTGGGAAAGGTTTCCGTTATAGCGCAGATGGTTGTGTTCGTCAGGGAGGTCACGCGGGAGAAAGACGTCAGGGACTTGGCCATGATCCGCATCCACACATCCCTCAGGAGGTCCCTGCGGCGGTGAAACCATACGAATGTGAGCGCTGCGGGAAACTCTTCCGCTGTAGATCTGCACTTAATGTTCATTTTAAAGTCCACACCAGGGAGAGACCGTATGTTTGTGAGGCGTGTGGGAGCGCCTTCAGCCAGGCCTCCCACCTTCAGGACCATCAGAGACTCCACACCGGGGAGAAGCCATTCAAATGTGACGCGTGCGGCAAGAGCTTCAGTCGGAATTCACACCTTCGGTCCCATCAGAGAGTACACACAGGTGAGAAACCCTACAAATGCGAGGAGTGCGGGAAGAGCTTCATTTGCAGCTCAAATCTCTACATCCATCAGAGAGTCCACACCGGAGAAAAGCCCTATAAGTGTGTGGATTGTGGGAAAGAGTTTAGTCGCCCTTCGAGTCTCCAGGCCCATCAGGGCATACACACCGGAGAGAAATCCTATGTTTGTACTGTGTGCGGGAAAGGCTACACCCTGAATTCAAACCTTCAAGTCCATCTGCGCGTCCACACCGGAGAGAAGCCATACAAGTGCGACGTGTGTGGGAAAGTCTTCAGCCGTTCTTCACAACTACAGTCTCATCAGAGGGTTCACACAGGGGAGAAACCTTACAAGTGTGAGGTTTGCGGTAAGAGCTTTGGTTGGCGGTCAAATCTTCTAATTCATCACCGAATCCACAGCAGTGATAGGGCTTCTAAGAGCACGAGAGATGGCAAAAACATCAGGGAATCTGTTCAGGAAAAACATTCTGTAAAATAATGTTTTGAAAGATTCGCGTCCTGTGCATTCTTTGTTGCTTTCGATTACATTTTAAAACAGTTTAGACCCAGAGATGGCTTAGTAGGAAAAGCACTTGTTGCTCTTGCAAAGGATCCATTTCCCGGAACTCATGGTGGTTCACAACCAGGTTTTTTTTTTTTTTTTTTTTTTTTTTTTTNTTTTTTTTTTTTTTTTTTTTTTTTGAGACAAGGTTTCTCTGTAGCTTTGGAACCTGTCCTGGAACTAGCTCTTGTAGACCAGGCAGGCCTCAAACTCACAGAGATCCGCCTGCCTCTGCCTCCCAAGTGCTGGGATTAAAGGCGTGCGCCACCATCGCCCAGCTTAGAACATTCCTTAACACATTAAAACTACTAAGCTATTTAAATATCTGTGAGTAGAGAAAAAACATCTGTTGCAAGTACCTCCTCCATGACAGATCATGTAGACTTATGGGAGCATAATGTCATTGAAAACATGGAGTAAAAGCCAGAAATCTCAGCACTGAGAGTCAAGAAGGAGGATTGAAACTTTGAGACCAGACTTAGCTACACAGTAAGACTCGGCCCGGGGGCTTCACAATTATTTTTAACCTTCGTTCCAGAAGATCCAAATTATGGTGCACACACATGCATGTAGGCAAAGAGTTCATACACATAAGTAAAACTTATCTCAAAGACAATTTAACGTGTTTGGGGACACACACATGCCAGTGGAGGCATGCCATAGCATATGTGTGGAGAGCAGAGGGCATCTTTTGGGAGCCGGTTCCGTTTTTCCACCATGTAAAGAACCAGGGATCAAACTCAGGATGTCTGACTTGGTGGCAAGCACCTTTGCCCACTGAATCATTTCACTGGCCTGTTGTGTGAATTCTTTTAATTTTTCAAAAGAAAGTGTAATTGTTTTATTCAGGTTAGTGTTTCTGCTCCTCACATCCCAGTGTTTCCAGGCACTCTGTTAATTACCCTGAGAAGGCTTTGGTTGCAACCCTGACCTCTTCGAGTGTCACAAGAACTTTGGAAAGGGTGACCTACCAGGGCATTTCGGAAGTGCCACAGTGTCTGTTATAAAAGGAAAAGGGCTGCTGGATTGGCATAAATCTCGTGCTGAGTACTGAAAAGATTTTTTTTTTTAAGCAAACGGGGGGGGGGTGTACTTTTGAAGCTTGAGATGTTTCTGTTTGGAACAGGAACCCGAACAGCCTTTAAAACCACAACAGCCAAAATCTATAAAAACCCTCTTTGGGCCCGGGGATGTGTCAGTGTTAGATCCTGGGTACAATCCCCAGTGTGGACGAAACACAAAGCTGTCAACTGCGGTATCCACTGGTCTTGTTATGGTTAGTATCTGTCCTTCCCCCCATCCTTTCCCATCCTTTGCTGTCAAGTTGGGCCCTGTCTTCTTGGATTTTGTGTTTTGTTTGCATTATGCTTTATAGATTCAATTATCCTTTCTGATGGTGAATTTTGTTAGCCTGGCGGTAGCAAGATGCTCCATACTGCGCCATGGATTCTTCAGCACAGTATGGAGTAGATGGGAAATAACTCCAGACTCATGTATGGGACACGTGATCCCAAGTTACTGAAACTTTGGGAATGGGGCCTCGAGGGCAGACCTTCGCTTCTGGTGCTGGCTTTCCTTGGTCTGCTTCTCGGACCAGTCACCAAGTGGGAGCCTGCATTTATAGATAGATGCCCAAGACAGAGCTGTTCCCAACCCACCTTTCGAACCACGATGAGCTGATGTCCCTTTAAAACTTGGCTGGTCCCTACCTCCCGTCCCCCACTCCAAAAAAAAAAAAAA